TCATTGTTTGGGAATTAGAAGGAAGTTAAAAATTTTTAAGGCAGCTATAATCAAATTTTTTCTCTGTTGATGGAAGAAGAACAGCCGTGTTGCTGATTTATTTGTTTTACATCTTTTCTCTCCTAGTCGTTCATATCCGTTCCTTTTTCTCATCCACTCACGGTTTCTCCAAATAGAATTTATATTAAACGTAGCGGTTTTCAAATTTCTTTTGTATGAACGTTCTAGGGGTTAACACTCACTCTGTTTTTGCTGTAAACCTAACTCTGTTTGAATAATATTAAAAATCTAATAATTTGTGAAGAAAGTTGTTTCTAGGTAGTTCTTCAAGTGACCAGGCAGTTGTAAGTGTCAAAGTTCGCCAATGCCCTCACTGTGGTGCCTATTGCCAACGCTCATACGGATGCAATCATATGACGTGTACTTGCGGACGAGAGTTTTGTTATAGATGTTGCGAGCAATGGAGCGGCAGCGGTTCTCACGAAAATTGTATGGATACTGAGATAGTAAGCATTTAAAACTTGTTTGCAACAGAAAGAGCTGAATGCATTACATTTGGTTAGTAGGCCCAAGATTATTGATAAGGGAAAAGAACAACAAATATTTTCTTGTAGTTGCATAAGGTGAATGTGGTTTGAGGCATTGAAGAGTTATGACTTCAATTCAGGATGTTGTCCTCATTGATGTTGCCAAGTCAACCAGTTTTATTCCATTCAAAGTTTATCAGCAGTGCCTTAATTTCCGCGCAAAAAACAGCCAACTTTATTTCCACCGTTTACACTTATCACTTTTGAAACGTTCAATGAATGCCGATCGGAAGAAGCAAATTGGCTTTATTTCCTACTGGGTAAACTTTTTAAGTTAAAGGACAATGCTTCCTCACATCATCAGTTTTTAAAACCTCTCTAAAAAGGTTCTTAAAAGGCCTACGAAGCTATCAGGTTTGTACAAAGCTGTTTCAAAACATTGAAAATGCAATAGTGCCGGCTGTGTAAACTGTCAGATAACGTGAAATAAGAAATGTAAAATGTGTTTAATTTTAGGCATATGCAACGTTGGAGTTTTGCTGTGTTCAAATTTGTCTAAAAAGGCGTAAACTAAGGCAAGCCAGGATGAAGAATTTGCCATGTAACATGTTGGTCTGCGAATTGGCATTAACAAAGAAGTATTACTATCAACTGCAGTTCATGGTGCGACGACTGGAGCAATTATGCGAACAGAATAAGGAGGATTTAGTGAAAATAG